GACCTTGTCTCTACTTCATGATTATTGGGTCCCTACTTAAGACACAAGTAGCAAGAAATTACTCAAATGATTGGCAGCCGGAATCGTCTACACCAGTGCTGCCGAGTAAAAATTTAAGGCAAATTTTTTAATTTTCTAGCAACTTTTTGTTGCTGCTGTTGTTTGTTTTTTTGTTTATTTTGTTGATGTTGCTGGTTTTTTTCTTTTTTGAGACAAGGTCTCAGGAATCCTGGACTGGATTGGAGCTTGCTATATATAGCAGAGGCTAGCCTTCATCTTTTGATCCTCCTAACTCTACCTCCTGAGTGCTGGCATTACAGGCATGGACTACCAGGTCAGTTTTATGTGATGCTGGGTATCAAACCCAAAGCTTCCTGTGTGATAGGCAAGCATCCTACCAATTGAGCCACATCCTCAGCCCTCCTGTAGCTATAGTACAAAAAGTTAAAGGAAACAGATTAAATTCATCTTAATAACATTGTATTATCGTAGTGTATTCAAAATATCACCGCTTCAGTTTATGAACAATGTATGAAATTACTGAGATATTTTGCATTTTATGTGAGGTACTAAATCTTTGATACCCCGTGCGTACGTAGTTCACACTCTCAGTGACATCTGATCAAGGCTACACCAGTCAAGTACTCATTAGCCACCTTAGGCTCATCATCGAAATGCTGGACCTGTAGATCCAGTGTCTTCCCCACTCCCAATGTTAGAGCATAGACTAAGATGACTTGAAGGCCACGTTCACTTAGAACTACCATCTACCAAGCAAGTGACTTCTTCATGCTAGGCAACCCTCTCACCTAGTAGGTGAATGCAGCAAGATCGAGAATTCCAGGGACAGAGGCTGAAGTTCCAGGGCTTTCTATGAACGAGCCTCAGAGGCCATGTGACATGCTCTGATGATTAAACAGGGCATAAGTCTTCTCGGTTTCGAGGGGAAAGACACTAACTCTATTGCTCAATACAAGTTGTGTCTAAGAATTTGTGGGCACGTCTTAAGTTTTTTAAAGTATCTGCTTTATTTTTAATTGTGTGTGCACAACATGGATGCCGGGAATCAAGCAGGGCTCCCCTGCAAAGGCAGTGTGCTCTTTCCCATAGAGCCACCTCTCTAGCCCCTGGAGCTATGCTTTCATAGTGCCACACGGGCAAAAAGCAGGTGACAAGTGTGTTCCCTTCACTCTCCCAGGTGAAACTTCACAGTCCTCTTTTCAAAAATCCAGCTAGGCGTGGTGGCACGTGAATATAGTCCCGGCACTTGGATGGCTGATCAGGAGGCTATCAGTCCAAGGTCAGCCTGGCACAAATCCCTCTAACTGGTCCAGTCCTCCATCCCTGCTCCCTGAAATACTTCCCACATAAACTAAGTGCACCTAATAGTTATTGTGCTGTTTTCAGGGATACCCAGAGTACAGAGAGCCAGGAGAACCGCAGAGGGCAGGCATTAAATGCCTCAGAAGTAAAATAAGTAGCATTTTAGATAATATTAAATATTTAGGAAAAATAAGTATCTGAGTAGGAGAGCTCTATTTTAGGTGACTTGGCTAAGTAATGACTTACTAAAACAATGTTGAGACAAGCAGATAAACAGGCAATGACTGAGGATATTTGAGAAAAAAATCAAGCAATATAGCCAGGGACAATGGAAAGCCACAGACTGGAGCAGACTGCATGGTCAGGACACTGTGAGGGCAGAAAAAGGTAACAGGCTGTCGAAACAGACCAAACAGGGATGGCTAGGGACATTAGCTTATCATAAGGACTGGGCTGTACAATAATGGGTGTTTTGCAACTCTGAGATTCCATCTTACACCTGTAAGAATGGCCAAGATAAAAAACACTGATGACAGCTTATTCTGGAGAGGTTCTGGGGAAAAGAGAACACTTCTGCATTGCTGGTGGGAGTGCAAACTGGTACAACCCCTTTGGATGTCAGTGTGGCGATTTCTCAGAAAATTAGGAAACAACCTTCCTCAAGACCCAGTAATACCACTTCTGGGTATATATCCAAAGGATGCTCAATTGTGCCACAAGGACATGTGCTCAACCATGTTCATAGCAGCTTTGTTTGTCATAGCCAGAACCTGGAAACAACCTAAATGCCCCTCAATTGAAGAATGGATAAGAAAAATGTGGTACATTTACACAATGGAGTACTACACTTCAGAAAAAAATGACAGCTTGAATTTTTCAGGAAAATGGATGGAGCTAGAAAACATTATTTTGAGTGAGGTAATCCAGACACAGAAAGACAATTATCACATGTACTCACTCATAGGTGGTTTTTAAACATAAAGCAAAGAAAACCAGCCTACAAACCACAATCCCAGAGAACTTAGACAACAATGAAGACACTAAGAGAGACATACATAGATCTAATCTACATGGGAAGTAGAAAAAGACAAGTCTCCTGAGTAAATTGGGAGCATGGGGATCTCGGGAGAGGGTTGAAAGGGGGAGGGGAGAGGCAGGGAGGGGGGCATAGGAAAATGTAGAGCTCAATAAAAATCAATTTAAAAAAATGGGTGTTTTGTTTTGTTTTTTAAGTCCGTTGCAGGATTCATTTGATCTATGACTTTAACAGAATTGCTGCGGCCACAATGCTGATAATAGAGGAAGAAGAAGAGGTGGAGACAAGTTTGGGGACTTTTGCAATAATCCTGGTGACAGACAAGGGTGGCTTATGCCAGGGGGAGAAAGAGGCAGTGCTGAGGAGTGTAACATTATTGATGCAATAAAAAATACATATTTTGGGACTTTTTAGGGTGTTAATCCACTGTCTTTCCAGATTGTTGGAATAAGACACTATTTTTAAAATTTATGTGTATGTATGTGTGTGGGGGGAGAATGCTCGTGTACACAGTACCCATGAGGCCAGAAAAGGGAGTCAGATCACCTGGAGTCACAGGCAGTTGTGAGCCCCACAATGTGGGTGCTGAGAACAAACTCCAGTCCTCAGCAAAAGCAGCGGGTGCTCTCAGTGGCTGAGCCATCTGAAAACCACAAAGCACGGTTTGAAAGATTAGGTTCCTATCTCTGTTGACTGGCATCTGCAAGTGACAGGCAGTGATGGTTCCTGGCATCCCAGTTACGAAGAAACGGTTCTTCCTTCAAGAAAAAATAAAGTTTTAGATCTGCTTTTGGAGGCCAATTCGAAATTTATTTCTGAGTCATATGGGAATAGAGACGAATGGAGAAACAGACTATAATCTCAGATAGTGTGAGAAGAGCCACACGTCAGGTCTACAAATGAGAGCGTTCCCCATGGTGGGCTCGCCATGCATAGTGGCCACTGGGAACTTGGAGTCGGCCAAGTCTAAAAGAAGTGAAAAAAGTTACTCTGATTTAGAGGCTAAATGAACCTCTGAGAAGGAAACCCTCCTTAAAACACTTGCTCTGCCTTTACCCACTAAGACACTTGAGGAACTTCAAACAGGCAGTCCAGACATCTTCACAGAAGCCACGGGACTGGGAACCAGGGACACAGCCTGAGTTTTCAGATGTTAACTCAGTCAGGAGGGGCTGGCGTGCTTGACCATACCGCGAAGGATTCTGGGAAGGGTCAACACGAAGCAGACATGGTCTATAAAGAGGTTTTACAAACTCAATGGTATTTTTGTAGACTTTTGTTTCATTTTGCTTTGTTTTGGCTTTTTCTGTCTTATTGATATTCTGCTTGTTTGTTTTGCGTTTTGTTTTTGTGTTTCTTTTCTTTTTTGTTTCTTGCTTGTTTTGAAAGGGAGAAAAAGAACATAAAGTTGGATGGATAGGGAGGTGGAGATGATCTGGGAGGAGTTGTGGGGAGGGGAAACACGATCAAAATATATTATATAATTTTTTAAAAGTTATGGAGAAAAAGATGTTTAGCATCGATTTAAGCCTGGTTGTTAATGGGAGGATAGACCTGTAGGAGAAGGATAGTACACACTCACAAACACACACACACACACACACACGTGGATAGGCACTTCTCCAGTGAGTCAGGCTTGCACGGCTTAGAGTAGTGAGATGCCTGACTGTGATAGCTTCTGAGGTCACACATGGAAGCATTGCTAAGGAACCCCTTTTCCACTAAATGAGCCCATGGGTCAGTTTCTGGGGTACATTGGTAGGATTACAGCTGATAAGGTAAAGCCGTGAATCACAGGGGATATAAGACACATTTTTATATGAAATATCCCCATACACAGGAAATATTGCCTCTATGTAGGCAGTCTTCATAGCAAATTCTAATGGCGCTGGAATCCTTGCCTCTTCACTGGCAAAGTCTCAACCAGACTTCACAGTGAGGTGTTCCTTTCCTATTTCTCCTTAAATAACCTCATCTATCCAGCCTCAGTTTCCCCTTATGAAATGATGAGCTTTTAATCTTAAAGCTTGCTGAGAAAGATCTATTTTCTTAGCTTCTTCACTGGTAGACAGGGGTGTAGGACCTGCCTGTGAAGGGTTCAAAAGTCTCAGCCAGGGAGCTGGAGAGATGGCTTGGCAATTAAGAGTGCTTGCTGCGCTTCCAAAGGAAAGAAGCTAGGCTCTTGGCACTCACATCAGATGGTTCTTAACCACCTGCGACTCCAGCTCCAGGAGACACAATGCTCCCTTCTGAGCTCTGTGGGCACCCTCACGTTCACACACACACAATTTTTTTTACAGTCTCAGCAGGTGTGATCTAAAGAGGAAGGAAATGCACAAAGGATTGGACTTGCAGATCTGGATCGTCCTTCCAAGGGAATCTGGAAGACAGGGTATTAGCCAGATATCAAGCCATATAAACAATAAGAGATTGTTATACCTGCTCCCAAATTTAGCGCCAAGAATAACAGGGCCTTAATGGGTGTGTGACTCTCAGAGGACTGAGGACACACTGTCCCCATCACCCTGTGTCCATGCACAGCTGTATAAGAATGGCACGTGCTCCACCTGGGCGCCTGTCAGAGCAGCAAGGACATCAGGTCTTGCAGCACCGCTGGCTGCATCAGCTGAACTTCTAAGTTTAGGAACGGGACTCCATGGGCTGGGGGTGGGGAGAAAAGCATCCTGGTGGCTATATACAGAGACCATTACAAGAGGAAACCCTATGGTGGGGTTGATTGTGTAAGACTGCCATCACCTGCTGTCACCAAGTGGGCATCAAGGGTACCTGAGAGAGAAAGAAGCAAGTGGGGCCCAACAGTGTACCGTGAGGCTGCCCTTACAAATGGGGCTGACCTTTGCATGGAAGAGGCTAAGATGTCTTTTTCTCTTGTCTGAAAAGAGTTTTTAAGTTTCTTTGAACATTTCCAAGTATAAGCAGCCTTACCTTCAAGATACATTTGAGAGTGTGGAGACTCGGGATGATTCCTTGCTAGTCTTTCAGCTCTTCTCTCCTTGGTGGGGTAGGGCTGTACCCAGTGTGAAGAGCCACCAGCCTACGTCAAAAGATACTTGTGCCCTTGACAGGGGAGTATTTGAGTGAAATCTGCTTGTCAACCTTTCCCCTGGAATGCTCTTGTCCTCTCTCCTAGGTTAGCGAAAGGTGGTGATTTCACTTAATCCTGGGTTGTTAGAGAGAAAGAACGCAGGGGCCATAAGGCATTTTTAGACTGTGGGATTTTGATTCTTCTCCCCAGAGGACACGTGAGTAAGACAGTTAATGACTGTCTTTTGAGGTGCCAAGACTGATAAAGTCTTTCAATAGTTGGGCCCAGAATGTAGCCCCCAGCGGGACAAGGCCTTCCTTTGAGGTCTCTGTCTTCTTTTCTTCCCGTGACCTACTTACCTCACAGGTGAGCAGGTGAGCACACTAACCACTCAAGGAGGACTGAAAGCACAAAGAGAAGTGATTGTCAAAGCCTTGGGTTCCAGGAAGAATAAAGCCCAACAGTCCCGACTCCAGATGAGAGCAATCACCTGTGAAAGTGGGCCACACCCCGGAGCATGGGCAATTATCCCCTGAAAGCCAGCTGTCCCTCCAGGCAATACAGAGCTATTTTAGCCACAGTGTAGGACCAGAAAGGAGGAAGATCAACAAGATCACAGCTTGACTGAGACAGCCCAGTTACACAAACCTTTTTGTCTATTGTTTTAATCCCTTCTCCACTTAAGCCTAAAGTTCACGTCAGTGCCCAGATGAGCCCAGGTGACACCGAGCCTCGGGGTTAGTTCCCCTTTCTGACTGTCACCATAACCCATCCCTTTAACTGGTGAATGGTAAACAGCAACCAAGCTAAACCTGCCGGGGCTGCCAAGGCCAGGACATGTGTTCCAAAACTCCTGCCACACTACGAGCCAAAAAGAGCCTGGCCTAATTGAACATTTCTGTTTACGTGAAATCTTACGTTTATCCTCTAAGACATTTGGTGCCATGTCAACAATATATAAACACAAGCACAGATGATTAGCTGCACAGAAAAACAGACCGCATAGTTCACAGCTTCCATTTATGATTATCGCCTGCTGGGCTGTAGTTACGTTACATTCATGATCTGATTCTTTCCTCTTTAGTCTGGAGTCTGTGCCTCCACTTGTACAACCCTTGATAACAAAAGCTGGAAAAATACATCTCAAAGGTGCAGAGCTTAGGCTATTTTCAGGGATTGTTCAGACAGCCAGTGAAAGCTAAAAGATGAGGCCCGTGCAGAGTTTAATGTTTCTTTTATTGTTCTAAATGCTGAGCCACAGTGGGAGAAATGATAACTTCAAAGACTAAAATTTACTGAAATGTTGTTTTGAGCCATATTCCCCCACTTTTTAACTTACACTAAGGCCGAACTCTGTTCCTTTTGCTTGCTTGTGAATCCAAAGGCAATGAGCCTGGACTGGACAATCGAAGGACCTGCTTCACAGTCGTTAACTGACTAAATTCAGGTGAGTGATTTCTTCCCGGGCTTCCCTGCAGACCTTCTTGGAACTGTGTCTCTGCAGTAGTTTAAAAGAGACGGTTACAGTCAACAGATGGGGTTTAAGCCTTCTCAGGAAATGAGAAACATGGAGTCTAAATTTGCCTGTTTGGGCACTGGCAAGTTCTACAAGCCTTGGAACATTTTCTGGCAAGACACTGGAATTATAATGGGATCAGAAACTTCAGCAGAAGAGAGTTTTGAAGGCTGGTGAGGAGATTGCCGAGCTCCCTATACCTGAGGTGACTAGGCTCACAGAAAACAAGCAAAATAGGAACAGCTGGGAGGACTAATAGGAAGAACTTAGGAACAAGGAAAGGGACTAGAGGGTGTCACCCACAGAAACAGCCTTTCCTGGTGTGTTTCTGACACAGTACGTGTTGTTTAATGAGGTTTGAAACTCTGGGTGTCACACCATAGTTAATTCACACCAACAGGGTCTCCAATGGCTCTGCTGGAGGCCCAAGAGTGGTGTAAGTTATTGGTAGAACAGCCCTTATGGTGGTGTCCTTTTGGACCCCCGTGATAGTTCCATCTGACCCAGGAGATTGGTATGGAGAGCTCCAAGGAGATTCCTATCTTCAAGGCAAGGGTCACTCATCAAACACTGTGGGAGTCTCTGGCCAGAAACAGAGAGAAAGAAGTGAGAGCAGCGTGTGGGACAAAAGGCCAGAGCGGAGCAGCTAAGTGGTCATCAAGTAAATTCACCAACACTGCTTCGAAGCCGGTCCCTTTGTGGTCACCAGGAAGGATGTCAGTAGCACTAGGCAGTAGGGTGTGAACTGGGCACACAGCTCCACGTTACCTGTACCAGCCAAGGGGAGCTTTTGTTTGAGCCAAGGGCTGCTAAGAGCTGTTTTCTCTTTCTTGGTAAATAAGATTAGAGAACGATTTTTGAGGTGTATTGGGTAGGATTACAGCTGATATGGTAATGCCTAAATCATGAGGTTCCCACAAGGAAGTTAAGTTACATTTTCACTATAATGAAATTTATAGCCTTATTTCTAAGATTCTCAGGAAAATTCCACACTCACACCCGGGAAAGGAATTAAGCCATCCTTAAACGTCAACTATTATTGAACATAGGTCATTGCTATTTAATAAATATATAAACAGCATAATTCCTGGCTATGGTAGCATCCTTATTGAAAAGATCTCTGTATACAAGGAATGTTGTCTCTATAGGCAACTTTTTGGTTGTTAGCTATGCTGGAATTCTTGCCTCTCAGCCTGTAACATGCGTCACATGTTCTGAGTGGAAAAGATCCCAAGTGACCACGTTTCTCCACACTCCCTTCCAGGCTGGCTCCTACCCTAATTCTGCCACAAGCAGGCCATATCCCCTTTGTTTTCCCTGTCTTTCTAGCCCACCGTGACCTTTGTGCCCACTTCCTCTTGTATTCTTGGTCCTCCACTTCCTGTTGCGTTTTCACTCTTGTTCCCCCTTTCAGAGCTAGCCTGATGAGTATTATATAGCCAGGAACAGCATTCTGAGCGCTGCCCTGGGACTTCCTGATCCTCCTGGCATATAAATACCAGGGCAGGCCAGTGTGGCACAGCGCAGTGAGCAGAAACCCTCAGGCAAGCTGAGCCTTCCTTCCAGGAGGATGAGGAACTTGAGAGCTGTTTCCTTCTTTATCCTTGTGGCTGTCCTTGGATCCCAGGCTGGGATCACACCTGGTAAGTTCACTGAACCCTCTCACCCAGTAGGAACCTACGGGAACTGCAGAACTGGAGCGGAGCCAGAGGAGGGACCACTGCCCTCCTGGAACTGCTTTCCATCCTTGACACGGTGATGGGAGTTACTAAGAAACGGCATCGGGTTACAGACCTGCCTCTGTCTGCAGCCTTTAGACCCTGGAGAAAACTGGACACGGATGCTGGGTCCCATTTGGGGAAACAGTTATGCCTGATACATTTCTTTTAGCTGACACAGGATTGTGTTAGCTCCAAAGAACTGGGAAAAAATTCTAAGTCTGAGGAGAAGCAGACTTACATGATAAAGCATCAGACACCACCTCCAAAAACAATCATTTTGGAGACGTGGGATGAGCAGGTGATCACCTCTATCCAAGTTCCTTTAACCATGCTATCTTATATTTGACAAATGCATAGCCAGCATTCTTACGTGCGGGACAGCTGCTGTTCTGTCGTAGGGCTTCTAGCACATTGATTCCTTCTAAAAGCCTGTGGGGTAAGCGTCATATTCAACAATGGAAATTTGCCTTTTTCGTGGGGGAAAACAGCAGAACACTAATGATTTTATATATAGGTTTTTCTAGACAGAGTTTCTCTAGCATTGGAGCCTGTCCTGGAACTAGCTCTTATAGACCAGGCTGGCCTCATATTCACAGAGATCTGCCTGCCTCTGCCTCCCAAGTGCTGGGATTAAAGGCGTGCACCACCACTGCCCGGCGAGTTTAAATATCTTTCTCAATTACTGTGATTGCTGCCATTTTATAAATGAGAAAACAGAACTGTGGAAGTCATAGCTTTAAGATTAAAGGCTAGGAAGCGGTAAACTTGGAGCAGGAGCTATCCTGGAATGGGTATAGAATGACATGGTCATTTTGATCTTTTCTGGGTTTTGTAAGCTCCACCTACAATAGGTGAAGCATGTTACAACGTATCCACATGCCTCCTTTATGCAAGCCAAGCTGACTTCACCATCTCTTGGTGTCCTGGGGGCATAATTCCTTGACCCCATGTGAATATCAAAATCCACATATTTCCTGTCCATTTTTAACCCATACATATACTCATCTGTGCATTAAAAACTCTAGACATTTGTAAGACTTAAAACCACTTAAATGCCAGTGAGTACTCATTATATTGTTGCTTAGGGGATGAGGGCAAGGAGGAGTCTTGAGTGCTTCAATTATATTTCAGGAAGAATGTTCATGGTTGGCTCTGGATGTGAAAGCTCCAAATATGGTAGACCAGCTCTATAAAAGGGATGTGCAAAGGACACTGGGAAACAATTGCTCGATGAGTTGATAGCTTAATCCTTATTGCTAAAATCATTAATGTATGCTTTGATATAAAAAGTGAATACCAATTTTTCAATTAGATTTGTTTTATTCTCATGTATGTGTGTGAGAATGAGTGTGGGCATGTGCACATGTGTGCAGATGCCTTTGGAAACCGTAAGAAGCTGTTACATACAGTATGAGCCACGTAACATGCAGGCTGAGAACTGTACACTGGTCCTCTGTAAAAGCAACAAGTGCTTTAACTACTGAGGCATCTCTCCAGACACTAAATATCAACTTTTTTTGGTGAGTGGGGTTCAAGATAGGGTTTTTCTGTATAGCCTTGGGTGTCCTGGAACGCTCTATAGACAGGCTGGCCTTGGAACTCATTGAGATCCGCCTGCCTCTGCCTCCCTAGTGCTAGTGATTAAAGGTGTGTGCCACCACACCCATCTAAAATATTAACTTTTAAAACTATCTTTTCAGCTGTGATAACCTAACTTCAAATTAGAAAAGAGGGAAAGAAGGAGGGAGAAAGGGAAGGGGAAAGAAGAAGGGAGGGAAGGAGAGAAAGGAAGGGAGGGAGAAGGACAGAAGACAGCAGTGAGAGAGGGAGACAGGGAGAAAAAGGAAGGAGGGAAAGAAGGGAGGGAGGGAGGGAGGGAGGGAGNGGAGGAAGGGAGGGCTGGTTGAGCTGCATTTGCCTCAGATCACAAGGCAGGTTTACAATGCTTTATCCATAATCTTTGGCAAGACATGAATTTTGCAATGCGGGGGAGGGAGGGAGGAGGAAGGGAGGGCTGGTTGAGCTGCATTTGCCTCAGATCACAAGGCAGGTTTACAATGCTTTATCCATAATCTTTGGCAAGACATGAATTTTGCAATGCGGAGTTTTGATAAGTTAATATAACACAACAATTTCACTTCTGGGTATTGACCAAAAACTTTCAAAGTAGATACATGGGAAGACTTTGACCCCCTCACATTCCTAGCACAATTATTTGCACCACACAGAAGGAGAGACACTGCCTACTCATCAACAGACGAAATGTGACAGGCACACTTGTGCAGGGGAGTATTCCTCAGGGTCCAGAGGGTAGGGCGTTCTGGTGTGGGCGGCACAACGGGTGAACGCTGAAGGACGATGGCTCTGGAGAGTGGGAGACGCCAGTCGCGAAGGGCCGGCACCGCCTGGTTCCAGTCACAGGCGTTACTTAAAGTAGATTTGTAAAGACAAAAGAGGTGCGTGGTGGTGCTGGTGTGAGCCTGTAAGGTGGGAGGACCATGAACCCGAGGTCAGTCTGACAGACACAGCAACACCCTGCCTTTCAAAAAGAGACCACACAGAGGAAGTAAAGTGATAATTGCTAAGCTGAGGGGGGAAAGGTGGGAGGTAATATTCAATGGGTTCTGAATTTCAGTTTTACTGGCTGGAGAAGTTATGCGTGGATGGGGTGCTAGTTACACACTAGTTTGACTGTGCTTGATACCATTCAAATGGACACTAAAAATTATATAAATGACTAAAGAGAAACAGGGAAGGAGTGGACAGAGGGGAGTGGGGGAAGGACTGGGAGGAGAGGAGGGAGGGGAAACTTCAGTTGGAATGTAAAAACAAAAAAATAATAGACACACAAAAATATTTTTAAATATTTTTAAATTGTATATTTAAAATATACAATTATATAGATATAGTTATATACATATATATTTAAATGGGACTGGCAAGATGGTTTAGTAGTAAAACTTCTGCCTTGCAAGCTTGGTGAGCTGAGTTAGGTTTCCCAGATCCTTCAGAAAGGTGGAAGAAGAGAACTAACTTCACAAAATGAGTTGTCTTCTGACCTCCACAGGCACACCCACATCACATCCTTCCCCACACACACCCACACACACACACATACACCCCTACGCATACACACACTCCTCACACTCACTCCTCCATACCCCCACCCCCACATGAACATATACATATACTTGTCTACCCACACACACATACACACACTCACTCCTCCATATCCCTACCCCCTCACACACACACGAACATACACATATACATGTGCACCCAACACACACACATACCTGCCTGTTTCCTATCCTAGCGCTGATCTAGGAAACATACTGTAATCAAACAGAGTAACAGTGTTCCTATAACATGTGTGTCTTTATACGAATGGAATAAACAGTAAAAAGGGGAAAAAAAAACCTTCACTACACTATAAAGGACATCATACCACCAAATGGGTTGCTAGAAAACTTGTTTCTAGAGTCCTGTGGATTCCAGATGTGTAGACACATATGGCCTATCACACAATACATGCTCAGTTAACTTACCTGTGTTAGATTTGCAGCTGCTTTTTAGTATTTCAGAATCCACAGAAAGTTTTTATTTCTCAAATATTTTTTAATTAATTAATATATGTATGTACACAATATCCTGTCTGTGTGTATGTCTGCAGGCCAGAAGAGGACACCAGACCTCATTACAGATGGTTGTGAGCCACCATGTGGTTGCCGGGAATTGAACTCAGGACCTTTGGAAGAGCAGGCAATGCTCTTAACCACTGATCCATCTCTCCAGCCCTTCTCAAATATTTTTGAAGGATCACGGGGAAGGGGGGAAATCTCATAGCAAAAAGACACACTAGCCTAGGGCAAACACTTTCAGCCCAGATAGGTTAGCAGAGATCCAGCAACAGAGTCTGCCTGCCTTTGGATGGGAGAAGGGGAGTACGGCACGGTGGCGCACACGGTACTGTTAGCACCCCAAAGGCCGAGGCCGTATAATTGAGACTTCAAGGCCACCAAAACCTGGGATTGGAATATGTGGTGAAGGGAGGGGCCAATATAAGCTGCCAACCATGACATTGTTTCCCCACCCTGTCTGTTTCTTCTACAAACAGCAATAAGAGAAAAGAGGGACATTCATCACATTGAACCTCACGCAGTTTATCAGAGTAAGTGACCAGACACGGCATATTTTAAAGAATTGGGTGGATACCGTACCGCAGCTTCACTCTCTCTACTGACAGAACAGGACGGGAGGGCCCTGAGGACGGCGAGCATCTCTGGGAAGAGTAGCATGGCCATGGGGACTCACTCACTTCTCTACATATGCCTGGGCGTCCTGAGTCCAGCTGTTAGAGCAGAAGCACGCCCCGAGTTCTGGGCCTTCTCACCAGCTATGGGGCTCCCCACCCCACCCCACAGGACTCTTGAGAGTAATGACTTGGCACTAGAGTGGGCCTTTGTCCTCGTACAGGCATTCTAAATGCTCCAGACTGCTGATTCTCCTACGTCTACATCTCAGAGATCCTGTGCTCAAGATTTGTATATTATTTTCCAACCAGTGGTGGATGCATCAAACCAGGCATCATGTAAGTGTCAAACTCACCTTCTGGAAGGGAGTCTCTGGGTTCTTAGATAACCTAGTGAGTAGGCTTGCAGAAAAGGGCCATCCTTGGATCTCACCAGGTAAGGGGGAGGAGATCAAGGTGTATAGAAGGAGACAGCAGGCAGAAGTCTACTTAGAGAATCTCAGGCCTAAAGACAGTCCCAGAGGGAGGTGGTGCTGAGCCTTCTCCTGAAAAAAACAGACTGTCGAGTAGAAAATTGGAGGGTCCAGAGAATAGGGCTCCCCTTCCCTATTTACTATAAACCACTGTTTGTAATCTTTCTCCCCCTTTTTCTCCAGATTTGTCTCCAAGAGAGGGATCCGGGTCTGTGCCAATCCCCTTGATCAGGAAGTTCGGGAGTGCATAAGACGGCTAATGCAAATCCCGGGACCTAGGAGCACTGCCATAGCTTGAAGAGGCCTTATACTGCCAGTCACTTCTTTCTGTCATCCCCAGTGACCATCTAGGAGGCTCTAAGTATTTATTTTTATAGATGCTTAAAACGTTCATTCTGCTCTTCTGGTTGAAAGCAGCTCATGTAGCATTTATATGGACTTTTTTGCATAGTTCCTCTGTAGATCATAAAAAGATAAACGATTAGAGTGGCCTCTGGGGCTTCGGAATGTGTCTGGCTCTGATACTAACAAGCCAGGTCCATCAAGCCAATATGAAAAGAGTTTTGCCCTAGCCCATATACATATTCAACTTTGTGAGAGCCCAGCTGTTTTTCTACCACCCTAGAGCAGTAAGCATCACCCTCACCCCCCAAAAATAAAGTGTATCCATGTAGCCACAGGTCTGTCTGTCTGTCTGTCTGTCTGTCTGTCTGTCTGTCTGCAGATTCACAGAACTGTGGGGCCAGTCTGAAATTGGGCTGTTTGGGGAGAAAATATCACACTCGCTCACCTTGAATTTCCAAGGGAAATCATGTAACTTTGGGTATTTTCTTCAAAACCAAAGACACGTTGTTATAATTTTTAAATTTCTGAGAACACAGCTTATTCCAATGTAGACTTCATATCAAAGATGTATTTCACCCACTATTGAGGGAGCCATTAAATTGGCTAAAATGTCTTTGGGCTTTATGCCCGTTTGCTGGGGTTAAGGAATGTTAGGGGTCTCTGAGAAGCTGAGGTACAAAGGCAACATCAGCCATGAACCCAGGCCTTCCCTTTAACTGCTCTTACAGTCTTTGTATTGCTATAATATATTAGATTATTCTATGGTGAAATACACATTTGCAAGTAAAGTGGATGACTAGAAGCTACCTCTATTTAAACAAGTCAAGTGGAGAATCAGAGTAAGAAAAAAAATACTCTTTAACCCAGAGAGAAAGCTAAGAGGCGCTTCAGAGCCATGGAAGGGAATGAAAGAATGGGGGGCAGGAAATACCCCCCACGTGCAGAGAAGTAACTGATGAATGCAGTCTAAGTCATGCTGTTCCCCAGTGGGAGGAGAAGACAGCTTCCAGTCACAGGACAAGCCCGCACCTCTCATGAGGCTCAGAGACAGGTGCAGGTTTTCCTAAGACAATATTTCCTCATTTGGATGGGTCAGTGGTGGAGAGAAACACCATCTGTTCACCCACCTGAGTAGGAGGGCAGCAGCCAGGTGCCCTCTTGAGATAAAAATCTACTATTCAAAACAGAGCTGTTCTGGGGGCCCGAGACTAGGGAACAGCTACCAGTTGGGGAGTCATAACTTGGCTTGCCACAACCTCTGGTGAGGAAAGTTGTTCGGTTGTGGAAGGATGGAGGCCTAGACACTGATGAATTGAAGATTCAGGTCACAAGTTAGCTCCGGCTGAGACAAGAGCAATAACCCTTTCCTCGGTGACCAGGAACAGATCCCATCAACTGAGAATAATCCTGGGTTTGAAGTTCTGAGCCTGAAGCAGGTGAGCAGACCAAATCCTAGGGCCAGCTGTTGTTCACTGCCATAAAGCCCAAGACCTCTGAAGTTCCAAAAGCATATAAGATACCTACATACTGACAGAAGGCGACACAGGGGAGGAAATGTTCTGTCTTAGCTTATGAGCCAAGTCACAGTCCACCACCACAGCAGGGGAGTCACTGCGCCAAGAGTGCACGTCCACAGCCAAGGACAGAGAGAAATAAATGCATGCATGTTCATTCCTTGCTTGTATAGTATTCATCCAGCTTCCTCTACTCTTACACAGTCCAGGGCCCAGCACCTGAAATGTTGCCATCCACATACAGGATGGGTCTTCCCACCTTCAATAACAACCAAGACAATTCCCCATACACGAGCCCAAGGATCAACCTTATCTAGATAATTCCTTACTAAGACCCTCGTCCCCGGCGACTCGGAGCTATGGCATGTTGCCAGTTAAAGTAACTGACACAATACCCACAGGGGCATTCCCCCAGCAGAGTGATTCATACTCAAGAGGTCTTGAAAGTATGAAGACAGGTCCTCCGCTTAAACCAACCTCAGTGTTGTGGTTTCCTTCCACATTCCCAACTCATTTGGGAAACACCCTCCAGATAAAGCATAAACCACGCCAGGGTTACAATCTGGAAAATCGTAGGAGGATGAGAGAGTCTGCCCAGACCACAGAAGGAAACCTAGGAGGCCCACAGAACCTCTGTTCTGCAAAGAGTGGGAACTGCAAAAGCAAAAGACAGTGCAGAAGGATGTCACACACCTGTCCAGTGCAGACTCAGTACAGAATGTCACATTCCTGTCCAGTGCAGACTTAATACCAGCACAAACCATAGGAAATACAAGAGTCTACAGTTCAACTGGTCCTCTCCCTTCTCCATGCATAATAAGAGACTCTCAAGAGAACGCAAACATCTGAACCTTACTCAGTTTCATATCAGCATGACGCATGATATGAAAGAGAAATTCAACAAGGGCATAGGAACCCTGAAGAAAACTACAGTGAACTACTGGGAGTGCAAAGTGCAATGAGTCAAATTAGAAGTTCTACAGAAAGCCTCACCCATAAAATCAGTAGAACGGAAGGACAGCACATCCGAGCTTGAAGGTAAGGTACAGGACAAAGATGAATTGATAAAAAGATATGAGCTGGACTTTCGAGCCACAGGGGACACTGGGAGACGATGAAATACAAGAATCACAGGTGTAAAAGAGGGTGTTCCCAGGTGTCAAAGGAGATGTCCCCAGCCTGTTCCTTGGGCAGCAGAGGAAAGGGTGCCTGAACTGGCCTTATCCTATAGCCACACTGATGAATATCTTGCAGATCACCATAGAATCTTCATCTGGCGATGGATGGAGATAGAGACAGAGACCCACATTGGAGCACTGGACTGAGCTCCCAAGGTCCAAATGAGAAGCAGAAGGAGGAAGAACATGAGCAAGGAAGTCAGGACCACAAGGGTTGAGTCCACCCACTGAGATGGTGAGCTGATCTAATGGGAGATCACCAAGGCCAGCTGGACTGGGACTGATGGAGCATGGGATCAAACCGGACTCTCTGAACGTGGCTGATGGTGGAGGCTGATGGAGAAGCCAAGGACAATAGCACTGGGTTTTGATTCTTCTGCATGGACGGGCTTTGTGGGAGCCTAGTCTGTTTGGATGCCCACCTTCCTGGACCTGGGGGGAGGGGAGAAGACCTTGGACTTCCCATAGGGTAGGGAACCCTGACTGCTCTTTGGACTGGAGAGGGAGGAGGAGGGGGAGTGGGGGGATGGGAAGTAAGTGGAAGGAGGGGAGGAGGTGGAAATTTTTAATAAAAAAAGAAAAATCTATATAAATATAAATCATATAAATAAACTGAAAAAAAAGAACTCTTTCCAAATGCACAGAAGACATTTCCAATGAAATCCTGGCACAGAACCATCTATTCAGACAGAGGAGGTGTCTAGAACACCAATACACCAGGCCTGAACTTCCTCTTGTCATGTCACAATTAAACAACTATTGTTCGCAGCAAAGACTGTGTAAGAAGCAGCAAGAGATAAACATCATGTCACATATCAGGACAGGCCCATCAGAATAACAGAGTTTTCAGCACAAATTTTAAAAAACAGAAGAGCTTGGTGTGGCGTTCTTCAAGTTTTTGAAGACATTAACCTCCAGCCCAGACCAATATCGCCAACAAAGTGTTCAATCGTAGTTGAAGAAAGAAAATCCATCCCATGATAGAAATAGGCTTCTGACCCTCAGAAGGCCCTGGGTCCTCTACAAAAGCAAAAACCACTCTCAGCCGATGAGCTCTCTCTCTCTCTCTCTCTCTCTCTCTCGACCTCTCGACCTCTCGACCTCTCGACCTCTCGACCTCTCGACCTCTCGACCTCTCTTCCTGTTTTACTGGGCCACATCAGAATAAAACTGCAAATAAAGAGCAAACATATATGAACTCATGGAGATTAAATAACTCACTTTGTAGACCAGGCTGGTCTCAATCTAACATAGACAGACCTGCCTCTGGCTCCCAAGGGCTGAAATTAAAGGTGAGCACCACCACATTCAGGCTTGGATGTTTCTCCTCATAGATGATCTAAGGAGATTTTTTTCCCTTCTTAAGTTAAACGATATTAACATATCTAAAGGGGCTGAAGAGTAGGCTCGGTGGTTAAGAGCACTTGCTCCTCCTGCAGAAAACCCAGATTCAGTTTCCAGCACCCTCATGGTGGCTCACAAGCATGTTAATTCTAGTTCCAGGGGATCTAACGCCCTCTTCGGACATCCATGGGCACTGTATGTATGTAATATACATACATACACGTGAACAAAATACTCATGAACATAAAGTAAAATATTTTAGAAATTAAAGAAAAATAATGAAAGAAGGTGTGGACATCAACTTTATATATCACTAGCAAGGCAGATAAGTTTACATGTGTAATCTGTATGTCTCGGTCCACTGGAAGTAAGCATGAGTCAGTCTCCTCCTCCTTGGAGGTCTGGAAGGATCCCCCACTCCCACCCTGTGGTCACTGCTAAAGGATTGAAGGAAGCTCGTGGGAGGAGAAACCCCTCTGGAAATATTGACTCTCTCTGACTGAATCAATTGGAACAGTTTGGAAAGCCCCGTGTCACCTTTGCCCTCTACTTCCCATTGTTCTCCGGGCCTCGTTCCCTCTTTTGGAGGTAGCATGCTGAGTATTATGTAGTCAAAGAGCAGCATTATGTGCTGTAACCCGGGACTTCCGGATCATCTTACATTTATAAATAGCGAGGCAGGGCAGGGAACAGAGAGCAGTCCGAAGGCCAGCTGGGTCTGTCCACCTGTAGGATGAAGCCTTTAACTACTGCCTTCTCCTTCCTCGTTCTTGCAGCTGCTCTTGGATTCCAGGCCCCCGGGATCATATGTGGTGAGTCCCATGGTAACTGGAAGTCTGAGGAGGAGACCCCAGAAGGCCAGCGTTGCCTGTTGTGAATGATCTCTATCCTTGACAGAGCAATGGCATTTATTTAGAAACAGCACCCAATTACAGATCTGCCTCTGCCTGCAGTCTCTGGATCAGTGGTTCTCAACCTGTGGGTATCAGATAGCCTGTACATCAGACATTTACATTATGATTCATAACAGTATCGAAACACAGTTATGAAGTAGCAACGCAAATAACTTTGTGGTGGGGGAAGAGGGTCACTACACCATGAGGAACTGTATTAAAGGTCCCAGTGTTAGGAAGGTTGAGAACCACTGCAGTGGATCCTGGTCGATCAATGATTTGCTTCCATTTGGAGAAACAATTATTTCCCTTTTCATAGCTACAATTATTTGATAGCTTAAGATAATGTTAGCTAATGTTTTAGCTGGCCCAAAAGAGCTATAGTTAAGTTGTAAGTTTGTGAAAACAGACAAGACTTCTGTAATGCTCGAACTGTTCGACACTAGTTAGTATAAAACCAACTTTTTTTTTTTTTAAGGCATTGGGGCCAGCCAGGCAAATGGTCACCCATAGTCACTGTCTCATTTGAAGCTTTGATATTTTCATTTATGGTGGTGGCTAGGACTCAACACAGAGAGGTCTTGTAAAAGTTAAGTATTCCTTAACTTTTCCAAGAAGAGAGGTGCATCATACCCCATGGAGCTAAGGAGAAATCTGGGCTTGGGTCGGGAGGTATAAGCAATAGAAACAGAGAAACTCATTTCAGGTTCTGTATTGGAGATACTGGGAAAAGGGGCACAGTGCAGGGTATAGTTGAGACTTCCTAATCTGAAGAAGTCTGGCAGATTTTGAATATATGGATGGTGTCTAATTGCCCAGGACCTAAGTTAAGCAGCGTTAGGGCAAGGGACATGCCAGCATGGCTTTCGAGGGTGAGATGAAGGCAGGGGTCGAACTCAGAATGAGTCGGTTGGAAGCCTTTGTTAAGGAGTTAGCTAACCTCAGAATACACAAGATCAGAAAACAATACACTTAGTAGAGTCATCTAGACATTCTATTTGTCTCACAAGAATTTTAGCACTCCCTATGTGCCGCGCAGCTGCTGTTCTGTCTCACAGGTGCTGATTCAGTCCTCCTCCAGCATCCCCGAGGGGTAGGACAAATGGAAATTTACCATTCTTGTGGGAAGGGGAAGGAAGAAGCTCGAAGACGAGCAGTTTCGCATAGCCTTGTATATTATTACAGCTGTGCTCATCTTACAAATGAGGAAACTGAGACAGAGAAGCATTCAGTAACTTAAGACTACACAAGAAGTAAAGGGTAAAATGAAGAGGTGGATTGGTATTGGAGTATTTAGGAAAAGGCAATGCTATTTAAGATTTACTTTGGAAGCCCACCCACATCACATCAAGCATGTTTTAAAAAACACCTTGCTACACATAATTCATATGAAACTATTGAAGACATGATGTAAAGGATTAGTTGCCTTTTCTTAGCACAATGCAAATTCCCAATCCTTTAGCAACAACCTTTGGCCTTAGATACATTTGAGGATGCGTATCTTCTGGATTTTAAGAAGTGATACATTTCTGGATGTCACGTTAACATCCCTGATGATTTCTGTAGAGCATACCCTAACCAGACATTTTTATAAACTTAGACTCTTAGGAGCCTCATTTCACTTCAGGGGACCTTGTGCCCCCAAAGGAGTTGAGGGGAAATGTGCAGTTTGCAAATTCCTGAAGATTTCAGAAAAACGTACCAAGAACTGTGGGTGTGCCACTTGCTTAGAGACCTCATTAATGTCGTCACGTTACATTCGCACTTAACTTGGAGCGCTTCATGGTCAGCAGAATGTTTCCAAACGATCCAGAAAAATCTCATGTCACCAAAGGGGCCTAATGGGCTAGAGACAGACCTTAAAGCCCAGAGGTGTGAGGAAGGTCAAGCACTGGGGCGTATCTGCCTTGGTGAGAACAGGGGGTGGGTGAGTGGAGATGCTGAGACAATGATGTTGCTCTCTGCGCTCTCTTTCTTCCAGCAGCAGAGAGAGAAGTCCTGAAGGCAGAGCCAGGACTTGCAGCTCAAGTACTTCACCTAGGTAAATATTTCAGTACAGCATGCTTTGAGAAGCACCAGATGGTGGCCGGTCTGTGCCAGAGTGTCCTTCTCCCTGATGAGAGAACAGAACGAGGTCACGAGGGGGTTGAGGATGCTCTTCAGAGATCACCAGGGAAGCTAAGGAATTTCTAGCAGCATCCCCAGGAGGACGAGGACGGGCCATGAATATTCCATCAGTGTTCCCTTCTCTAAGCACCCGGTCTGCCCACTTGGGGCAGAAGCTGCCACTGGTGACTGTGCACGGCTTCCCATCTGTGGACATGCTCCCAGGCCTACTGCAGTCTGCTGTAGGCCCATTAGAGGGTGTGAAGGGAGAGGACAAGTGCAGGATGAGGAGAAAGCATCCCAAGTCCTGCACACACACACACACACACACACACACACACACACACACACACACACACACCGCCAGAACTCTTGAGAGCAAAGAACTGGCCCTTATGTGGCCCTTTCTCTTCCTACAGGCTTTGAAGATTCTTCCGACTGCTGCTTCTCCTATGCCTCGAGGATCAAGTGTTCAAAATTTGTATATTATTTCCCAACCAGTGGTAGCTGTATCAAGCCAGGCATCATGTAAGTGTCCAACTCACTCACGTTGTATTAGGAACAAAGCAGCCTCCGGGATATTGAAAGACTTAGTCGGTATCCAGGAAAGTCCCATCCTTGGATACTGCCAGGTGTCACGGGGAATACTTCAGGGTGCAGAGAAGGAGGCTGCTCGAGTCACTCCGTGAGCCATTAGAGAACCTCACAGGCCTAGAGAAGACCTCAGAGAGGAGGTGGTCTGAGCCACCTCCTGGAAAGAATAGACTGTTGAGGGGGCAATCAGAGGGTCCAGAGGACGGGGCTTCCCTTTTCTATTTACTAGAGACTTCTGCTTGTAATCGTTCTTCTCCTTTTTGTCTAGCTTTGTCAACAAGAAGGGGAACTGGGTCTGTGCCAACCCCAGAGATCTGAAAGTTCAGAAATGCATAAAAGTCCTGAGGCCAAACTCATGACCACAGACCTGCGAACAACAGCATGTGCTTGAGAAGGAGGGCATGTACGGCCGGCCAGCCACTTCTCTTCTCTCTTCCACAGTGACCACCTAAGGAGTGCTAAACGTTCGTTTTTATTAATAGACAAAAGATTTGCTTTTCTGTTCTGGTTTAAAGCAACACAGCTAGCTTTGTCACTAAGGGGGAAGTTATCTGTGCCAACCCCAGGGATCTGAAAACGGAGAAGTGCATGAAAGCCCTGAAGCTGACCTCAGTGACTACACATTGCGTGTGGTTAAGATAAGAGGGCAAGGGCTGGCGAGATGGCTCAGTGGTTTCAGATTGCTGACTTCTCTTCCAGAGGACCTGGGTTCAATTCCCACTTACATGGCAGCTCAAACTAACTGCAAGTCCAATTCCAGGGGATCTGTTGCCCTATTCTGCCCTTTAGTTAGTAGTGTTTGCAGTATCTTTATGAATTCACCTGCGCTGTGACTAGCGCCACCTTGAGCTGTAGCCATCATGATGGCCTCAGAACTCTTGGGTTTTCCTGCATAGCTTCCCAGCAGATTGTTAAGTGGATGAAGTAGGAGAGTGGTCTGTGGGGTTTGAGAATGTGTCTGGTTCTGACGTCGGCTTAAGTCAAACTGAATCCACTCCACCACGATGAAATCCATCCGGCCTTTGCCCATACGCATGCCCGTCCCTGCTGATCTTCCCGCCACCCCTAGTTCAGCCAAACCCCCTAATAAAGATCTTCCATGCAGCCACAGGTCTGCCTCTTCTTCTTCAGTTTCATAGGAACATGGGTTGAAATTGGGCTGTTGGGGAGGAAGTATCTCACTCCCTCTCCTTGAATCCCCAGCAGGTGGGGGGGTAAGGAACAGGAGGAACTCCATAACTTTGTCTATTTTCTTCAAAGCAAAAGACATCATGATACAATTTTTAAATTTCGGAGAACACAGCTTATTCTAATGTAGACTTCATATCAAAGATGTACATTACACCACTGGCGGAACCATTAGACTGATCTAAAAGTCTTTGGAGGTAGTCCTTGTTTGATGGTTTTTCAGTGCTATTCAATCCATCAGTGTGTTTTTACACCAGCTAGTTTTATTACCACGGCTCTGTAAACAATAATCCCATCAACAATATTTCTATTGTTCGGGGCTGATGGGTTATCTGTGTTTCCTTACGAATTTTAAGATTGTTATTTTCAAGTCCTATAGTGAACTGCCTTTGAATCTTAATGGGAATTGCATTGAGTCTGTGGATTGTTTTTGGTAGGATTCCATTGTCACACTATTAAGCCTACCAAACTGGTGCTAGGAGCTCGTAAATTTCCTGGAGGGCCGCTCTTCCCTAGTCCACTGGTTCTGCCTTCAGGGAAAGAATACCAGTGGCAGCAAAAGAGCAAACCAGCTGGCTTGGTAGTAAGAGGGAAGCCAAGCCATGGAAAGGCGAAACAATCTTGAACTCCTGAGCCTCCTACCTCCACCTTCCTAGTGCTGGGATGACAGGCATGTGCCACCACACGTGTGTATACAACGCTAGCGGTCAAAGCCAGGACTTTCATGGGGTCCCACTTGTCAATAACTGGCCTTATTCCCTGAGCAACTAGAGCCCTAACCAGAAAGTCCTTACCTATCCCTTTATCCTGAAGTGTATCCCATATTTTCTCTAGCAGTCTCATCGTCTGTGTTAAAGTCTTTGAACCATTTGGAGTTGGTTTTTTGCATGGTGAGGGATGAGGACTTAGTCTCATTCTCCTATAAGCAGTTATCAGCTTTCCCGGTGCCATTTGTTGAAGATGCTGTCCTCTCTCCAATGTGTGTTTTTGGCATATATATATATATATATGTATNATATATATATAACCAACATGTTATCTGTAGTCCTATGAGCCTGTATCTGGGTCTTCTATTTAATTTCATTGATCTGCTTATCTGTTTTTGTGCCAGTACAGAGCCATTTTTATTGCTATACTACAGAGTTGAAAATAGCAATAACCCCAGCATTATGCTTTTTTTGCTAGCCAGGGTCTTCTGTGCTTCTGTATCAATTCTCTTTTGTGACTTTCAAGACGCTTTCTTGTTTTGTATCTTTAGTGTTTTGACTGTGATTTGATGTGGGGTTTTCTCTTCTCTGCTGGTCTACTTGGTGTTTTGTTTGTCTCTTGTACCTGGACAGGTTTCTCTCTAGTTGGTTACCAGGAATTTGGGAGATTTTCTTTTACACTTTTACCAAAAATGTTTCCTCGCCCCTGACACGGAATTCTTCTCATTCTCCAGTGCCCATAATCCATAGATTAGTTCTTTTCTATGATGTCCCAAAGGTCTCACATGCTCCATTCTTACATTAAAAGAAATTGTCATTAACTTTGACCGAATAATCCATTTTCTACTTTTGCTCTCCCGCCCTCTGTATGATCTTGTCTGTTGACAAAGCTTTCCGATGAGCTCTTTGAATTATTGAACTTTTCATCTACAGCATTGTTTCCATTTGATTTTCCTTTTCTATCCCTTTTTTGAATTATATTTTTATATCCTGAAATTTCTTTCTTGTTTCATTCATTCTGTAAGTATAGAGTTCTCCCGACTAGAGTTTCCTGCCCTGGGTTCCTTTATCCCCTCAGGAGATTAAAAACCTGTTACCTATGACTAAGAGTGTGAACGTCTCACAAGCAGGGCTCTGAAAGGATGTGGCAGACCTGCCCAGCTGTGTCTTTCTGTGTGCAGGAAGAGCGCTGCACTCTGCTATAACAGCCTGAACTCTGGGGGAGGGAAACAGTCTTCTCTGGTAGAGTCACACTCAGGTTTCTTACTCTCATATTCTGTTTGGCTGTGTTGCTGTTGCTTGTTTGTTTGTTTGTTTGTTTGGAGACAATATCTCACTGTATATCCCTGGCTGTCCCAGAACTTCTTGCCATGTAGACCAGGCTGGCCTACAAACTCACAGAGATCCACCTGCCTGTCTCCCAAATGCTGGAACTAAAGATGTGCACCACCATGCCCAGCTACCTGTTCTCATTAATCAGGCCCAGGAAATGCTCGTTTAAACCCTGAAGTAGGCCCTCTAGTTCCCAGACACACCACAGAATGAAGAAAGGTGTGCTGCTCAGGAGAAGAGGATTCTTCTGTCATGGCTGCGGTGTGTACCAGTCACTATTCCTAATGGTTTATGACTATCAGCCCACTTAATCTTTACAACGGCAGCTGGGGTGACCTAGGCTCAGAAGCAAAGCCTTTGCTTTAATAATTTAATGGTCAGTGAAACTGGGGTTCAAAGTCAGGCATTTGAAGTCCGTGAGTTTAGGCTGGCTTGGGTTCTCTGCAGACAAGTCCTTAGTTAGAGCGCTTCCTGAGCTTAGGGAATGGGTCCCCCTACGGTCTTTTCTTGCTTCCTGACTTAGCCATAGAGTAGCTTTGTCTGGAACCTTAGAGAAGAAGAACCTATCAGGGATGGAACGCTGGTTTGGCAATGGCCCAAAGTTCTATGTTGAAACACCTAGGGCTCTGTCCTCACTGGGGCAGAAACCCTGTAATACCCTTAACCCCCAGCCAGGGACCAGCACTGACTACTTTTGTCCCTCCCTGAGATGTGAGCTTCTACACCTTGTCCTAAGTAGGAATTTATCGATCGCTGCCCTACGCTCTATCAGACCTCAAGGATTAGAGGTATGTATCTTCCAGCCTCTGTCTCCAGCCACAGCCTGACAGTTACACAATCACCAACATCATCACCATATAGTCATACCTGGCTATTTATTCACAGAGTTAGACAAGGGATGAGGGAGAAGTGGCAGAGGCCAGATCAACACAGGTGTCAAAACAGTATGAGAGTATACACCCAAACAGCAAAAGGTACCGGGGTCCTTAGCCAGTACCATGGCCAAACTCAGGGAACTGAGGTTCAAAGTGCTGCAGAACATGAT